GAAAATAGAGATATTTTTCTTTCTTTTTCTCTGCTCACTTTCTGCTTATATGCTTCAAGCAGAATACATTTATTGGAATTAAAATTTAAACCGAAGTAAAGTTTTTATTCTCCTTTATTAAGTCACGTCACCTATTTCCCCCCCTTTTTTTTTTAAATATGTAGAAATGAACAGCAGTATATTGCGAGGAACAAAGGCCTTAAGGTTTTCAGGGACAGCTTCCAAACAGATAATTTAAGATGACTTGCATTTAATGAATGATGACTTTTAATGGAAACCTAAGAAGCCGTTAAAAAAAGCTGTTACTTTATTTCAATCTGTCAAGAAAAATATGACCCAGATGGTTCTGTGCAACTAAGAGCATCCAAGAAAAATTCTATATGCGCCAGGATATGAAAACCAGACTCAGCGCCTCCGTCACTGTCAGATGTTGTTGTTTTTGTTTTTAAAAAGGCTCAGTAGGCCAGAAAAGATCGACAGTGAGCTGCCATGGCGCTATGGATGTCATCCATCTTTTATTATTTTAACCGGGAATATGCAAACATCTTCAGGGAGCAGAGGGCACACAAATGATTCTCTTTATTGAGCTTGAAACCTGCCACAAAACCAATCTTATAAAAAGCAGTTCATGGGGAAAGTCCCCGAAGGGTCTTTAACTGGTTCCTTGAAAACGTTCAGAAGAACTTCCCACTTGAGACACATGGGAGGAGAGCTGGCGTCTGTGTCCTCCACTCGAAACTGTGAGTCAACACAGGAAAAGGAGACATACAACATCACAACTCAAAAGCTGAGAGTAGAAATGTCAAAACCCAAACGAAAGTGGCATCACATAAAGAGCGGGCACTGATGGTAACTAATATACTTTGCATCTTTACTTAAGTCAGTGTTGTTACTAAAAGGGTGGTAGTGGGACTGAAACCAGAACAGAGGGAGTAATAAAATGATTAGAAGGTGCATTCTGCACTCGCTATAACGCGGTTCACCTTTCGCGGCCTCGCTGTTTCATGGATTTTTTTTTTGTGCAATTTTGCATGCTTTTTTTTTTAACGCCGCATTATGTTCTGCGTCCTGATTGGCTGTAGACCAATAAATCTCCTCCTTGCAGTGTCTCCCGTACAGTACAGACTGTTCAGCTTGTCAAATTTACATAAATTTTCGATCGCTGGCAGTGTGACTCAGAAGTGCTGCACTGTATGTTTGTAAGTTTTCTCCCCAACAAACACAACAACGTCGATGTTTTGCACCATCAAAGGCACCTGAGGTAGCAAAAGGCAGAGGAAGATGCTAACCATCGCACAGACAGTTGGACTTCTGGACATGCTAAAGGAAGGTAGAAGTTACCGTATTTTCTGGATTATAAGGCGCGTTAAGCGAAACAAAACAGTCAGATAAGTCAAACTTTACTCAACTCATTCTTCTTGCTTCCTCCACGTCCGTACCATCGATTCATTAATGTTGAGTTTTCTGGCAGCTGCTCTATTCCCATGTTCTGGACCTGAAAACAGGGTTTGATCTTTGGTTTCCTTCTATAATACTGGACTTATTTTTCTACGAAGGTTTGAACTTTGAGAGTGTGTAAACAAGAGAGAAAAGTGTGAAAATGTTCACGCCTGTCTGAGAAAAGTGTATAAAGTGTGTAGTGTTTTACAGCCTCACAACATCTATAATAACTGTAAAACAACAAAGTTGCTACTTTGCGTATTTCACCTATCGCGGGTTATTAGAACGTAACTCCAGCGATAAACAAGAGCCCACCGTATACGAAAGATTACACTATTTAAAGTATGTGTATATATGCATTTAATGTTTCCCAGGTGTGATGCCACAAAGAGCCTGGCAGTTAGAGTTCCTTCCTTGTAACGTGTCAAAGCTGAAGAACCACCTTCAGCAGCAATAACTCAAAGCAACTGTTTTCTGTATGACTATCAGTTTCTCACATCATTCAGGAATTTTGGCCCACTTTCCTTCACAGCATTGCTTCAGTTTATTGAGGTTTGCTGGCCTCGGTTTATACGCAGCGCTCTAAAGTTTGCATTATTTTAATGGTGTTGAGTTCTGGACTTTGACCGGGCCCTTGCAACACCTTGATTCTTTGCTTTTTCAGTCCTTCTGGCATATTTTTGCAGTTTTGCTTGGAATCATTGTCCTGTTGGGTGGCCCGTGTGTGGAGTTTCAGCCAAGACTCCAGAAAAATGAGCGTCCAGGTCATGTGGCTGCATAACAAGCCCAAATCATCACCCCTCCACCACTGTGCTTGTATGAGGTGTTTGTGCCATTATTCTTTTTTGGATTTCACCCAACATGATGCTGTGTTATGGCCAGTCGCCATCACTTTTGTATCCTCTGTCCAAAGGACGCTGTTCCAGAAGCCCTGAGGTTTGTTCAGATACAGCTTTGCAAACCTGAGCTGTGCTGCCATGTTTTCGTTTTATATTTACTTTCTCCTGACACCTTTGCAAACAAGTACAAGGTGGAGTGCAGTGTTGTAAACTAAAAATAGGAAGCACAGACACAGGTACTCACAAGTGTTGAATAACAGACTCTTGAGCGATCGTGGCTCAAGAGTTGGGAGTTCGCCTTGTAATCGGAAGGTTGCCGGTTCGAGCCCCGGCTTGGACAGTCTCGGTCGTTGTGTCCTTGGGCAAGACACTTCACCCGTTGCCTACTGGTGGTGGTCAGAGGGCCCGGTGGCGCCAGTGTCCGGCAGCCTCGCCTCTGTCAGTGCGCCCCAGGGTGGCTGTGGCTACAATGTAGCTGCCATCACCAGTGTGTGAATGGGTGGATGACTGGATATGTAAAGCGCTTTGGGGTCCTTAGGGACTAGTAAAGCGCTATACAAATACAGGCCATTTACCATTTACATCCCCCAGGAGGATGTCTCTTCTCCCTACCCTTTGTTTTGTCCAGGCTCCACCTCCGCTGTCCTGATTGGATGCTGCGCAGAGTCCGGCTAATTGGTAATCAGCAGAGCACTATTTAAGGCCTGTGGAGCTGTGCTTCTGTGCCCTCTGGCCATTTTGGTTGCCATACCTGTGCAGGCTTGCATGCCTTTGTATCTTGTATGAGCATTGTTGTTTTCATGTTCAGACTGCTTGTAGGGGAGAGCTGCCTTTTGTTTTGACACCCTTTTTTCTCCTGTTTATGTGTTGTTAGGTAGGTTATGGTTAGAGGTTGTATATTTTGTTTCTTTGGAGTTAGGTAAGTTTCTTTTATTTCTACATCAGGGATGTTTTGTTTGTTATGTTGGCCTTGGCTCTCCCTGACGTTATACCTCAGTCTGAACCCACATCCCATCACCAGTATTAAATAAGACTGTCAGAGCAAACCCACACAGTCACAGGGAGAACACGTGAACCCCACAGAGGAAGGCTCCCAGCCAGCCGGCAGATTCAAGTTTAGAGCCTTCTTGCTGTGAGGAAACAGTGTGAACCACTGCACCACTTGGTATCCATCTAGCGGGTGGAAAACAACTTGACATGTTTGAGGAATTGTCATATGTTTGCAATTAAAATCTAGGAAACAGAAAAACACACTTAACTTGGTCATTCAACAACACATTTCTCAGATCGTGTTAAAAACCTCGGTTGATCTCTGCAGCACATGAAGCCCTGGCCCAACAGCGCCTGGAGATAATCATCCTCTTGGCTAACTGGATATCAAAGATCATTTATGTACATACATACTGGTTTGGCCAATAACCCATATTCACTGATATCATAAACATTTTTAGACTGTCTTTGAATGTCTTTTTTGTCCATGTGTGGAGTATTAATGCTGACCTGTACTCGTTTGTCTCTCCTAAAAACACAATTTCCTTTTCAAAAATGTAAGTTCAGCGCTCTCCACTAAGTATCGCTTCAGGTATGCTCTCTATGCCACTGTCTTACAGCCAGTTTGACCCATGTTCAGCTGTAGCCACTGGTTTCAGTGATAAACAGACATACTGTGAAAAAGTAGTTGCCCCCTTTCTGATTTCTTAGTTTTTTCTGACGTTTACAGATTTAAGATCAAACACTAAATATTAGACAAAGAGATCCTGAGTAAATACAAAAATGCAGTTTTTAAATTGACAATTTCATTTATTAAGTGAGATAAATTTCCTCCCCAGGGATGGGAAACACTCACAGTAATGCAGATAAATGGAGTAAAATCCTTATGAAAAAAGATCAAGGTTTTCTAATGATCCTTACATGAGAGTGAAAATTAATCAGCAGTCGGTGGTCACGTGATGTTTAGATACAAATAAGAGGCTTGCAGACAAACATGGTTAGATTAGAAGAAATCTGCAAACACATGTTTTCTAACTATAACCACCAGGATTAACCAGCTATAAATAAACTGTCTTATTTCAGCACGATGCACATGGATCACTGATTTTTCCTTCAAACTTCTCTGGCTTCAATCCTAGAACATTATATGATATAAACTATGTACTCAAGTGCATATTAGTTTTCACATTTCTACATGTGAGAGATTAATGGTGTATTAGGCAACTCAGCACATGAAACCACCACACCTTATAGTCCCCTCACATAAATCAGACCTATAATTCTCCTGGTTAGAGAAACTGTATTTTGTAATGAAGAACTGCTGCTTACAATGAAACTCGTCTTTAATCAAGAAATTCATGTATATTTCAATTTTAACATTAATGTTCTGGACAAAAGACAGTACTGCACTGCATTCAGCAATGGAAATCTACACTTGTACTTTGCCCTGTGCCTTGAGACAATGGTGGCGGCGTTTCATAGAGATACGATTATAACTGTCTCCGGTCACCCATTATGCAGCTGAGGTGAGGGAAGCCTGTGGAAAAGCCACAGCACCTTTTAAAGTCAGCCTCCTTGAGTGTTACACCGTGCTGGAATAAAATTACTTCCATGTGGGCGCTGCAAGTACTTACTGTTTGGACAGCATACGTACAGTGATCAAGGAAGTTCCTCCATAAAGCTGCGTATTAAAAAGGTTGTGGGGGGTTTACAGAAGTAAAGACAAAATGATGGTTTGGACAGATTTGTTTCTTTATGGAAGTATGAACTTCTGCAGTTATGTTATAGCTTGTCTGAAAACACAGTGAAGGCTTTAAATGTGAGGACACAGGAAACACATGCTTTCAATACATCACTCCGTGTTTAATTGCATGTGAATTAAATATTTCTGATAAACGTTTTTGCTATAGCATGTGTAACAATATCTACAGCATACATTTCAGATTACTCAGTGAATAAACCCTTTAAATTGGGGACATTACAGATTATGTCAATTTTTATAGTGCAACTACAAGTGTATATCTGAACTAAATTTCCATATCAGTTCATGTAATATAACAAAAGCATCTCTTTCACATATACACAGAAGTGTTTTTAAAACATTAGTTCCATCAGGGGGATGTAGTGGATATGTCACACGTTGTACACAAACCTATAAAGCTATTCCAACATATATATAAAAAAAAAAAAGAGCCGAGTGGAAATATTCAAGGCACTTAGAATTATACAACAAATGAATTTACAGACAAACAGAACTAAATACAAGTTAACCAAGCTGTGACATTTCATATACAGTTGGGAGCCAGGACAGATCAGGTGAGCTAAAAGGCATATTTCTGTGTTATAATAGTAAAAACAATATCCTAGCAAACATTGCGTGTTGCCATTCATCCATAAAGTGCATCACATGACCTGTTCCAGGCCTAGTTTGAGACAAGTCAACATCCCCCGTAGCCATTATATCCTTCGTAGTCATCATGAAAGAGTGAAAACAACAGCTGCTCAGCACACTCGACCACACGTGAAACGTCTGCCTCTCAAGTGCTCTTAAGTGTAAAAATATGGCTTTAGTGGACGATTTAATGAATAACAGTCTTGATGCAGATAAAGAGCCAACAAAGCTAAACTGTGAGTTTATTAGTTGCCTGTGGCATTCACTTCTTCCTCAAATACCAGCCGGATGGTTTTGCATCCTAACAAGCTTTGAAGGCTTTGAAACGATGACTACGTTGGCCTTGTTTTCCCTCTTTTTCCAGCCCGTCAGGTCTTAAACATTAGGATTTTTCAGGTAAAAAGAATAGCACCGCTGTATACTTGAGGAGCTGTCACCTCTTTGTGTCTTTCACCCAAATTATATAGTTATAATTCTATAATTATACTCCTGAGTATCTCACCTGGTCGATAGTTTTATCAGCTGGGATTTTGAGACATCTGAAATAAAAATTCTGTCGAGGTTTCCTAGGATGCCCCAAAACATGACTAACGTGACTATTGCTGTAACTGCAATGCCAGTAGAAAAAGTAGCTGTTAGATCTGATATCTTAAAATCCACAGCAGCTAAAACCAAATCCTCATTCCTACATATGTGAGCAAAAATGCCATTCTTGTCCTTTAATCACGCCACAGTAGGCCTTGAAGAAAAAAAAAAAAAAAGGAAATCCAGAAAAAGTGCCAGGAGAGGTCTGGTGTAAAGATTTGTGAAATGACCTTCACCTGGGAAAATTAATGCCTTCAAATGTTTATGCATATATGCAGGAATGTTTCTTGGTAACGACACGATTAGTATACATGTCGACCTTTACATTCCTTGGCTTTGACACAGTATGGTACAGACTAAATGCCCCCATCAGGACATGATTTATGACACATGGCACTAAAACAGGGTGGAATGTAGCTTTTAGATGCACCGGAAAGTGGAGACACAATGGCAATTTTCAAGACGGAAGGACCGTCTACCACAATAACAGTAAATGGCAGTACACTGCAATGAGATGAAGTACCTGCAGACCAATCGTTACCAATCCTCTGTCAAACACACCTGTTACCTGCTTATCCTGAGTCAGACTTTTATTTGAACAGCCACACGGGGGTGTCGTTTCCCTGGTTTATAAAGAGGGCCTCTCATAACAACTAAGATACCATAAGGCAAAGGACTGCAGCGAAAACTATTGAGATTATAATTCAGATTTCATATAGATTGTCACAATTGTGAAATCCGCCCTTTTCTCCTTTTTGGTCAAAAATTCAGACTTTGTCTTTGGGCTCTAACTGATGAGGTCTTGTGGATACACACTGGGTTCAAAAGTGAATCATCAGGACCAAGAAATCCAAACACACTGTCAGACAGATCCATTTAGTCCAAAGTCCCAACAAGGTGTTCAACATCTTCTGTAGGTGCCGGATAAAATTTCCCATGGTTTGTTGCTTTTAGTATACAACCATTCTCTTTTAAGTCCAGATCTTGAGGTATCATCCAACTCCATGACTGGACAATGAAACATCACTTGCCCTCTGACAGGTAGTAAGATGAGATGTGAAAGGACGTGGTAAAGGCAAAGTACAAATAAGAACACAAGAAAAACTAAAAAACAAACAACCCAAACAAACATGTGGACTAATGCTGCAGTGAGGAGGAGGAAAAGAAGGCAGGGAGAACAAAAAGAGATGGCGAGGAAGACCCGGGTTTATTGTTAGTGTTCTGAGTTCTTGTGGTAGAGCTGAGTGACCTGGATGACGGGAGGAGAGACGCTGAGCGACGGACCGCACCAACAGGCAGAGGATCGCACAGGCTGCACCTCACACCTGCCACTGGAGAGAGGGAAGTCAGAGCAGAAGAAATACACTGAGCACGTGACAGAAGGTAACGGGACGAGAGAACATCAGGCAACACAAAGACAGACAGACAAAGATCCAAAGAGGAAATGCAGATGCGAGAGACTAGAATAGCTCAAAGTGTGAGGCATTGATGTGGGGAGACCGAGACATCAAGTTATTGATGCCGCAGCACCAGAATACTGCACGTACAGGTCCCCTGAGAACACAGCGACACAGGCTTGCTATCCAACTCTATATAGCATCTGTTAAAACACAAGTGATAACAGATAAGGGCATCAGGACTGTTTACATCCCGTCTACGTCCTCAAACATCACGTGCACTCACAAAGCATTATATACAGTAGTACTTTTATAGAAGCTGTCAATCCAACAGACGAGAACAGGAAGAAAGAAAAACCTGCACTCCCTCAAATCCAAACACCTACAATGGTCATGTAATGAACATACATCACCACGTGAAAAAGAGGCACAAACACCATTTGTTAGTCATATGTGATGCAGGAGCGCAGTGCAGCACAGACAGAAGAGAGGACAGGACGTTGGAGTACAACAAATACACACCACAGCTGGGGCAAAATCAATTTCAGGTCACTTGCTTTAAAACTAGACTATTTTTAAACACATCCTTTAACTCAGATAGTTGTCCCTTAAAAAGCATAATCCTGTGACAGCTTTAAATCAATATGTGGTTTGTTAAGACCGGACTTTGATCAGGAGACATTTTTCTGAACTAGTTTTACTGAAAGTGAAATCACCCCAACCCGGAGAAACATCCCGACTCCGAGCACTTTAAAGACAGGTTTGTTTATTTTTCAAATAAATCTTAATACAGCACTTACATGTAATGTGTGCAGCTCCGGGGAACACGGGAATTAAACGCACATTTACCATGTGAGCGCTGCACTTAGACCGACTTGAAAGCAATCCGAACCCATCCTTAAACACGCCAACATCATTAAACATGACATCTTTACTGTGCAGTTAGCAGTGGGATGCATGTTATTGGCAAGAAGAACAGAGTGGGGGGAGGAAACAGTATGCCACAGTGTTAGCCTGCTGAGCTGTAATTGAAAGTACCTCACATGTTATGGGGCTCTTTATTTTCACATTGGGGCAGCACTGCTGTGAAATATGAGAGTGAAAAACAAGTGAAAACATATTTTAAAAAAGAAAAGGAGAAAGTGGAACAAGGTTTAGAATATTAATGATAATTATCTTCTCCTTAAACCAGAAACATCTTCACAGACATGCATACGCTATTTTTTTTTTTATTACCATAACTACATTTACACACTAGTGTGTGCCGTCTTTATGACTCTCGTGTGGGTCTGAAACTCATCACTGAAACGTTGACATTTGTATTTCTTGATTTCAAAATACCAGAAACATAACAACAGCCAGTATTTGGTAAATAAGGTCCAATCCTGGAATAAAAAACAACATCTGGGCAGTGATGAGAACCACAGTTCAAACCCACAACGCCCATTGTAGTGAGAAAACCGTGCAAACACCAGAGTCGATTTCAGTATTCATTCCCAACAACTGAACAACTTCCTTTCTGCGTGATGTTGATTTTTATTTTTCGTGTTTCTTTAAAAGTGTAAACATCACTCCTTTTTGAGCATAAACATTGTGTAGATTTAGAGATATTCATGACAACTTGATGTTTTTTGTCTATTTACATGTTCGAAATTTAACTCTTCTACTGACAGTAAAGAAGATTTTTTAAATTCTGATATTAAAACGGTTTTCTACTTGCTTAAAAATGTGAAAACCTTTTCCATGAGGAGGAAAGATACACTGAACCTTGCACTCTGTGAGTCTTACTCCTATGAGATCGGTAAATACTGTCATTTAATTAAATTAGGTTGTAGAGGATGAAGTAAGAGAGGTGCACACTCTTCAGGGCCTATAAATCAAGTTCTCTGCTGTGCAAACCGTTTTCACCCTAATCAGTCGCAGAAAACTGCACGTCCTCAGATAAGACAAATCCTTTATTTCCCACTGCTTTACCTCTTGGTAAATGGTCACATTTTAATAATGAGCTTTTGAGATTTTCAGTCATCTCCAGTTTACTACATTAACTGCAGTTGTAAATCCAACACATCATTTATTCATTTGGCTTCAAGGCTTCCAGCAGTTTATGAGCCGTGATGCCTTTAACTTTTCTGATGGTCTTATGTGGGGTTTTATTAACTCCAGATTATCACGAAAGACAAAAAACATGCACGTTTTGTGCAAGACGGACAAAATCAAATGGACTGAACTGCCTTGCAAGAAAGCCTGTTAACCTTACGAGAATGCTCCTTAAGGTGGTTTAAATTCACAAATGAACCTTGCCCCTCGACCTTTGATCCACTTTTAAAATAAATGGAAAATCTGCTTTAACTTAGATGTTGTGGCAGCATAAACAGATATAATTCTGTGGAAATCACATGAACTTTGGTTGGTGTCAGGAGCACATTAGAGGAGTAGTAGATCAAACCTACTCCTTGTTTTATCGTTGCCATTTGTGGTTTATGCGAGCGTCTCTTACCCGGTGTCTTCAGGGATGTCCTGATCGGCCTCTGCAGCAGATGACTCCACATCTGCACTGCTCTCACTGCCCTGAGCTGACAGTCGACATGGAGACTCTGGACTAACACACTCATCGCTGCAACAGAGATTCACACACACATCCAAAAGGTCATTCTCCTCTCACTTGTGAGACTTTTGTGAATCTCTCTAAGGATGCATACGGTTGTGTTTATCTACTGACTTGATATGCTTTTCCAGTAGTAGGATGGCTTGCTCCCTCTCCTCCAGTCTCCTCTTTAGGGAGGCAATCTCCTTTTGCTTCTCTAGCAGCTCCTTCTGTAGACGGTAGTTGCTCTCCTCCAGAGTCTCACAGAACGCCTAGAAGGAGGGGAAAATGAGGAGCAGAAAATATTTACATCTTTACATGGTCAAAATACCATATAGATAACAACAATGGGGTTTTCCTCAGAAGTTCGTGAATTGAAAAGGCCCAGCGGGCTGTGAGGTCTGTGCCAAAAGCTTCAGCATGCATTTGATGCAAATGGAGAATTTTGTGTTACGTTACTGATCCTTGTCCCATTTTGTAGCCAGCATCCTTCCAGTTTCACGTTTTTGGCTAACAGAGTGACTGAAGCAGAATATTTCAACCCCATATTTAACAGTGGACAGCACATTATTTTCATCAAATGCAGCTTTGTTTAGTGGCCAAAGAGCTCAGTTTGAACCTCATCTGTCCACAGCAGTTGTTTCCAAAACAACGTGATGTTCTCGAACTTCCAAGGCAGGGCCAGGATATTGGGCAGGAATTCATTTTTCAATTTAGAGACTTGATCATTTTTTTAAAAAATAATGTAAAGATATTATAGAGATGGACCAATCTGATATCACGTATCGGTATCGGTCCGATACTGACCTAAATTACTGGATATCGGAGAGAAATAAAAAATGTAATCCGATCCATTAAATATCAGGAAAGCACCTCACAAAACTTGCGACATGGCGTAACTCGGCTCATAACCTTAGCACGTCGGAGCAGTGTGCTCACGTGATAGAGCGGCTGTGGCATGCGGGACCTCTCAGCGGTCTGGTTGAGCATTTGTAGCCTCGCTACCAAACCGGCATTTCATCTCCGAGAAAGTTATCCCAGAGAGAAGTAAAGCAAGTGTGTAAGTTCATCTCTGAATGTTTGTAAAGCATTCCAGCATTAAGCTTAACAACCGATATATGGAGCGACTGCCTCTCCTTCCCTCTCCTGCTGCTACTTCAATCATGAAACTGATCAATGATCAGCTTTTCTGTCGCTAGTCCGTCTCTCTTGTTTGTTTATTGCCCACTTTGCATCAGAAAGAGGAAACCAGCAGCTGAACAACAGCAGCACGTTTAAGCTTGATAAGCTGTTGTTAGAATTTATTTAATATTACTTTCTACACCAGGATCCTTTTCTAGCTGACGGCTGGTAACTGTGCAGGGGCGGATCTAGCAAAGTTTAGCCAGGGGGGCCGATAGGGCATGAACAGGGAAAAGGGGGCACAAAGACATACTTTTCTTTCTTATTCTCATTTAAAATGTCTAGCTTTTAATAAATAATTATCTGAATCTTACACCCAAAGTTTTAATCTGATGTAAAATGTATAGAAGTCCATTACTGTATATAGTAACTATTAAGTCTAATATACCCTAGTAAGCTATAGTACTTTTTCCTTTGGGAAGGTACCATCTGTGCAGTCTGCAGTTCTGTTGAAGAAAGATGTTGAATCTATTTAATTATTCTTGAAAAATAATTTATTTCTGTGCATTTTTTTTACACTGCATCAAATTAAAGTTGATTACGTCGATTAAGCATCATGAGGTGGAGGTTGGGGGGTGGTTCCCTATTTTTTTTTTTTGCTGGGAGTTTGCAACCCTATTAGTTAGGTTGCTTAATATTTCTGCTAAGTACTCTTTAAAATACCAGAATAGGGAGGATGGAGTAGGTTTAAGTTTATTAGATTGATCAGTATTGCTGAACTATGAAATATTTTGGGTGCAGTGTATTTTTTACATACAGGTATAACAGAATAGCTTTAGTGTTTTGTTTTATTTAAACTTGAGTATGAACTTATACAAAATGCAGCAAGATATTAAAAAACAAAAAAAAACACACTATATCGGATTCATATCGTATTGGCAGATATCCAAATTTATGATACCGGTATCGGACATAAAAAAAGTGGTATCGTGCCATCTCTAGATGACATATACCATCATGGTTTAGGCACCTGACATCTCACTGCACTGTCTTTTGTAATGAGATTAAGGGTTTCCTTTCCATAACTTTCCATGTTGGCTCTGTTTGCTGCAAAGTCCAAGAACAGTGCTCAGTCTGTTAGCTGCTTTCCGGTTCTTTCATATGAGATTTTCAGTTGCCAGATGTAGTTTTCCTTAATATATTCCTTAATGGCAGGGAAAAACAAATTGCAAAACAGCTTTAAAACTAAGAATGCACTGATTCAACTGGGAGGAATCCCGTCCTTCTAAATTTGAATAACACCAGAGGTAATGATTAACTTAAAAGGCAGAGGACAGCTACATGTCCTGTGTCTATCCTGGGACAAGATGTGGAGGAGGAGTAGAAGTACCTGATGCTCAAAAGCTTCAGCATCCAACTTACACATACTCTAAATGCACACTCACCCTGCTCTCCTCCAGACTGTCAAAAGGCCCAGGTGGATCATCGAGACACAGAAACTCTCTCACCGGCAGGCTGTCAAGAACAATAAATGATGTAAGATTAGAAAGATTAGAAAACAGGTCAGCTCACACTGATATCAGTTATCTTTTTAGCTATGCATGTATGTATCTGATGCAGCCAACACAAACTAAGAGTTACGGCAAGGTTTGTCTGCAATAATGACCCAGCATGACATAAAATATGGCCCAGTAACATTTTTATTATTAAACATAATGGGGTCATACCAGTTGGCGATGTCCTTGTGTGCAACCAAGTTTTGCAAAAAAGCTTGCAGTCCTAACTGTCTGTCTTCCAGGAAGTTGCTGTCATAGTTGTCTTTGAACCAGCGCTTAGGAGGCAGTGAGAGGCGGAAGCCTGGAAACGTCTCCTTCAGCTGGAACAAATACACACAGACACACACAGTGAATGATTGAACTTACATTCAGCTACAGGCTGTAAGGGCAAAGACAGTCATGTAAGGGCCGTGTAGACATAATGCAGAGATAAAAGTAATAAAGTTGGTGGCGGGCCAAGAAAAACGCTTCCAGCCCACAAAGCAAACACACTCTTTGTCTAGATTTTGTGCTCGGATCAAACCTGCATCCAAACAAAAGAGCACAGGTCTGCTACTTTCTGATCTATATACCTTACTAAATAACCAAATCACAGAAATGTCATAATCAAAAATGTCTTTCATAATAGTCTGTCATCAGATTGTCATTTTTATTTCACGTGCATTCAAGATACAACCATACATCCAAAAACACTTAAAAAAAACAACAAAAAAACAAAATTTCAAAATGAGCTTTAAATCTCATGAGCTTTTTTAATCACACAGGTGAAAGTCCAGATTAGTGTTCTGCGCTATGCTGGTGTCATATTACAGACCTCATGCATTTTTGGTGCAACTACACATTTCTCAATGTGTTACTTACCACTGTGTTAAATCCAACATGAATTCTTTCTTGTAGTAAACTTGGCTTCATTCAGCAGAAATGCTTTCCTCACAAACTGTTCCCATGGTCACGGGTGGTGGGACGTACCTCTATTAATAAACCTATTATTCCAGCTTCATTCTGAGCTTAAGCTTTGATAGGATATATGCAAAGTGTTTACATGCAAAACCAGACTGTTTGTAAAATGTTCATAGCTGCATAGTGAGTAGGAGGCTGGAAGAGTTTTACATGAAAACTTGTTGTGTGAGGTTTAATATAGCCTGGACACAATAGGTATGTATACAAGTGTGACTGTCTGAAACATTAGTATACAAATAGAAAGCACATGGGTTTTGCTGTGGTTACGCAAGGTGTTTCCCATACATGTTGCCAGGTTGGTATTTCTGAGGCTAGAAGATTCGACCTGCCTCATTTCTGTCAGCTGTTTATTTACTTTCCGGCTCTTTGAAAAGTTGCACCAAAATGTTGAGGAAAAGCACAGAGTTTTTTTAAATGGACTAACAATGAAGTGGAGTTGTTGCTGCAAGTAACACAAAAGTACAAAGTTGCAAAAGCGAGTGAGAATTAAAGAATTTGAAAAAGCTATCTGGATATATCTTTATATATCTTTAATAGGGCTGTCAAAATTGAGAGCAAATAAAACAACTGCTGTATAATCAGGGGTGCACATAAGTGGTCCGCAGGTGCGCTGTCAAAATAAAAGACGCGAACCAGATAAGTTACAACGTGCGTTTGCGTACATAAGATTTTCTGGAGGAGGACAGACATTTGTTTAGAACTCTTTGTTTAATTGGTCACATGACTGCATCATATGACTAACATGCGTCTCCGTTTTTGCTGTCAACACTGCGATGCGAAAACACTGTTTTGAAATGTATGCGTTCTCGAGAGCGTTTTGAAAACGCTGCCTCAGTGTGGACGGGAGGCCAAAATAGAGAGAAAACGATGCATTAGTGTGGACGTAGCCTGAGATCCTCACTGTCACCTAGGACTGCCTACTTTCTTTGGAGCATAGAACGGTTTCTATAAAAGGTTCTGCCTATTGATTTCAAGAAAAATGACAACATGTTGCCAAATGTTTCTGCTGAATAAACATACAACCTCACTGTATCGTGCTAAAGTCCCTCTATTGAAGTCAAAGAGCATTCAACATTTAGGACAAGTCTGGTGATATTTTTGACTGTATGTAGAGAGGTTTAGGAGACATTGTGTTAATATGTGTTAATATGTTAATATGTCCTCCTCCTCCTACCTGGAGGAGATTAGGAACCTGGAGACCTGGTGCCAGGAGAATAACCTCCTCCTAAACATCAGCAAGACTAAGGAGCTGATCGTGGACTTCACTACAAAGCAGGCGAGGAATTACAAACCCCTCATCATCAGTGGCACGCCAGTGGAGAGAGTGGACAGTTTCCGATACCTGGGTGTCCACATCACTCAGGACCTGTCATGGTCCTGCCACATCAACACCCTGGTTAAGAAAGCCTGTCAGCGTCTCTTCTTCCTCAGAAGACTTAGAGACTTCCATCTGCCACTGAAGGTGCTCAAGAACTTCTACTCCTGCACCATCGAGAGCGTCCTGACGTCAAACATCTGCACCTGGTTTGGGAACAGCACCAAGCAGGACAGACGAGATCTGCAAAGAGCGGTGCACTCGGCAGAACACATCCATCAATCAGAGCTCCCTGACCTGCTGTCCATCTACACCAAGCGGTGCAAGTCCAAAGCTAGGAAGATTATGATGGACCTCTCCCATCCCAACAATGGACTCTTCTCACTGTTGAGGTCTGGGAAGTGCTTCCGCTCCCTTAAGGCCAAAACAGAGAGAATGAGGAGGAGCTTCTTCCCCCAGGCTATTCGGGCCCTGAACCAGGTGTAGGACTGGACTCTCACACACGTCACCACACGCACCACCACACATTTCCTATAATCCCTATAATTTATAATCCTTATCTTTATAATCTCTTCTGCTATTTGCACATTCTTTACTGTAAATTCCTAAGTTAATTTGTAAATTTTTGTAGTAAATTGTAAATATTGTAAAACTTTTCTTCTGTCATTTAATGGTCGGGCATTGTACAGCTACAAGCATTTCACCCCCATGTCATACTGTGTATGGTTGTGTGTGTGTGACAAATAAAATTTGAATTTGAATTTGAATATGTGGTCCCAGTGTCAATTTACTCAGAGGGAGGTGGCCTGGGGTGTGTAAACATGTATGCAAACCTGTCTGCTTTCACCATGCGATTAAACTTCACAGTGAAGCGATGCTGACTGAGGTCTGAACCTCAAAATAATGTTTGTGATGAACCACCCTGTACAGAGTCAGTGCTCTATTATACAAACCATACTATACAGATCATGCTAGGTATTTCTGCCTCGTATTTGCTGGTCCCTCTGAAGCGTTCACTCACGGCAGCCAAGTACTCTCATCCCTGTAACCTTTCCAAGGTAGAGCTAAAATTTTTTATCCTAACAGAATAATCAAAACACACTTCATACTGACAGATTTCCAAACTGTGATCAGTCTCATTGATACAAACATGTTCTCAATGAGACATCCACTGATGATTACTGTGAGCTGCTTTTAATAGGCTTAAATTCTTCAAACCTTACACCTTTTACATGATTTCTCCATCCATATAGTATTCTCATATAATAGTATGTCTCCTCTGTTAACTGTGATTATATACTCTGAAAACCACAAGAGACCAGAGCTCCTAGTTGGCTCGGGCCCGCTGGCTGTTTGGGAACAGTAGGCTTCTTTGTGTAGCTCGAATCATGTTCACTGAGCATTCAACAACTAAAGAAAGCTTGCTGAAAGCAGAGGGATTGATAGTCGAAACCAGTTGCTTCAGTTGTGGCAGGATTATAATAAGGTTTACCCTCATGTAGTTTTCCAGTTTGGGACGGCTCATTTAATCCCATGCACAGACAACACACCCAAACACACCTTGTCATTGAGTCTTGAGAAGTCAGCGTATCTTCTGAAAACAACCCAGCTCTCATCTAGAGTCTTTCTCACCAGGATCTTATACACCTGCAGTAGAGAAAGCAGATGTTAATAACTGCTCACCATGTTTGCTTTAGTGTTTAGTCACTAATAAATACAGACTAAATGTAGCACAGACAGCGGTTGCCATGCTAACTAATTTTCTGGATTCCTACCGTGAACTTGGCCCTCTCCTCCATGACCTCATACCCCAGCACAGTGGGGGTGATAGGCCTCTCCTCAGCTTGCTGGCTACCACTAGGATCCGATATAGACCGCGGACAGCTCGAGTATTCGACAGATGGTTCCAGAGTCCCGTTCAACTTAGCCCGTGTCACAGGGCTCTGAAGGGGTGGGGGCGTTCGGCTGCGGCCACCCCTGTCCGCACAGCGAGACTGATGTTGGGAATCTAATTCTCCGCATCCGACTCCCCCATGTTCCTCCCCAGCCATCCTGGCGATTGAAGACGAAGACTCTGAGCTGCTGGAGACACTTCCTAGCGATGAAGCTCGCTGCGCCCGTCTCAGCTTGTTGCTACCACGAGACAAGGCTCTGTCCATAGGCACAGGAACAGGCACAAAAGGTGATGCCATCTTCCTGAGTTGTGTACTCCTGCCACACCACCATAGAAGTCAATAAAGCTTTTCACACCAAGCTTGTCTTGGTACAGTAGTGTTGTGTGAGGATGAAGTCTAGCAGCAATGCTGAGCCTGAAGGGCTGACAATGAAGACTCTATAGAAAAACAACAACAGGAGTTATTAGGTGTAACATTATATGGAGGATCATTACACTGCCTCTAAATAATCTGTATTTAAAACCTAATCTACTTAATTCGCCCTGAGTCTACATAAATGTGGCACAATCTGTCAAGTACCTCACAAACCCAGGGCACATGAATTATTGACACGAGCCCCATATGATTTATAATTTATGAATTTGTGTATTATGTGTAAAATTCATTACTGTAAAAGCCTGTAAAGATTAGATTCACATGTCAACTTGAATGAAACAGAGCTGCATGTTGGTTTTCATGAAAGAGAGAGGCCAGAGAAATCAGCAGCTACCTGTCTATTTTGTTCGTGTTAATTCAGCTTCAGAGCTGCTCAGAAACCAGTCAATCCACTCCATAGGAGTACAAATGAAGAGCGTTTGAGAATACTACTGACGTACTGGTAATGGGAATATACGCTGTAAAAATATAGCGATTATAAATAAAATCTGGCAGGCAAAAGTGGGGAAAAAATAACTCAGCAGCAGAAAGAGGATGAAAGGATAGATGTAAGAAGTAAACACAATGAGACATGTCATTTATGGCTCTCACTAATTGACAAGGTCCTGCTGCTATTTTGGTGAAACACGGCGAAAACTCTGTGACGGCAGCCAGCGTTACAACAAAACACGGGCTTTCTAATGTAATTGCCCTGCTTCGTAAACATAAATGCCATTTTTAGACCAAGTCGCTAACGATATAGCTACCCTCTATGTTATTTTAGCAAGCAAGCTAACCGCATTCACTACGATTCACGACGTCCTTTCTGAGCTGTGAGAACTTCATTAACAAAACATGGTCGTGTAATAGTGTTAACCCGCCTTTCAGTTTAGAGAACTACTATCAGAAAACCACAACCACGTTTATAAAACGTTACCGTTCTCACCGTCAAAGTTAGCTACACTTTAACATGAGCTAACACTAGTTAGTTTCACTACAATACAAAGTACGCTAACAACAATTTTACTGATATAATAGCTGTTTACAACAACAATTGAATGCCGAATGCAGCAAGAATTACCAATACTGCGTCGGATATCTGTTTTTATTCTCCTGGTAGCATTTTTCCCAATAATAAACAAACCAACAGTTAAATAGCCCGGTTTTAAACCGTGTTTGGTGCGTCCCCCATCCCACTGAAAGAACCGGGCATGTATCACATTACATTCAGGTTAGCTAGCGAGCTAAGACGGAGAGCATGTGTGGGCAAAGCTAAGATGACCCCGAGTGAAAAGGTCTTTCGCTTACCGTAGGAGTCCAGATATCCTTCTCTGTCCGAAAATATGTTTACTACAGACATAGAGCCAAATGTGTAGTTGCCCCGTTGCTGTTTACCCGCCGCCGTATCTCCTCCCTCTGTGTTTTCATGTTAGCATGCTGGAACTCTGACCACAATGACGGCAGTACCTTTGCATAACCAGTAGAGTGCGCAGTAACACGCTTAATACTATATAGAAAATGTAATTCCTCAGCAAAAAAGTAGACACAAGACTTAAAGGGATTTGAAACAGGTACTATCAGAAAACACACACAGACACACACACAAAGGTTTTAGGCAGGTAGGAAAAATGCTGTAAACAAGGAATGCTTTGTGTTAATCATTTATTTTCATCAATCAACAAAATGCAGTGAATGAACAAATCAGCTCAATATTTGGTGTGACCAACCTTTGCCTTCGAAACAGTATTAGTTCTTCTTGGTACACTTGCACACATCTTTTGAAGGAACTCGGCTGGTAGGTTGTTCCAAACGTCCTGCAGAACTAACCACAGATCTTCCGTAGATGTAGGCTTCCTCACATCCCTCTGTCTCTTCATGTAATCCCAGACACACTTGATGATGTTGAGATCAGGGCTCTGTGGGGGCCAGACCAGTACTTGTTCTTCTTCTTTACACTGAGGATAGTTCTTAATGGCTTTGGCTGTATGTTAGGGTCATTGTCCTGCTGCAGAATACATTTTGGACCAATAAACAATCATTTATATTTCTGAAAGCATTCTCTCTCCCTCCCTCCCTCCCCCTCCGTGTGTGTGTGTCAATAATTTAAACCTGTGAAGAATCATTCCATAGAAATACCTGATTCCTGGAACGAGCTGAATGACCACATGGCTGGTTTTTCAATGTCATTGAACGTGCCACATAGGTTGACACAGAGAATGAACTCTCCAAGTCCACTTTGACTAATCATGTAGCAAAATCACACACACGCCACACACACACGCCACACAGACACACACACACACACACACACATGCACACACACAAACTTATTTTTCTAAAGCTTGCACCATAACAGATTATGTTATGCAAATCAGTGTGGTTGGTTATGGGTAAGGATGTTTTTGAATTCTGAAATAAATCAGAGTACTGTGGTGAATAACCGCAAAGACATTTTGCACTTTGTCATTTTTGTCATCATGTAGTAGAGGGAGAAAAAAATGTGTGCAAATATGGTTTAGAATACATCAAACATTATCCAAATATTTTCAGTGTAAATGGACAAAAGAGTCCTTTCAAATGGCACCTACTGGAGCGCTTCCAGTCTTTCTTCTTCTTTTTTTTGGATCAGTCATTCTGTGATTAATTTAAACGAGGAAAATTTTAAAGAGCTTCCCTTTCAATGTCTTCTTTAGTAATGATCTCTTTGTATGATTGGTCATCACGCACCTACCCACCAGACAGACTCCTGCATGTGGAAAATGTGACTCATTTGCACAGCATCTCAAACACACCTCACATATAAACATCGTAAACAAAGAACAATTTGTATGGAGCTGCTTCTAAAGATTATTAAATAAACTATCAACTATTACTTGCACTTTGTCTTCTTCTTAGCATCCATTTATCCATCCATCCCTTTTCTGTATGAGTTTTTTCTTTTCAGGGTAACTTGAGGAAACGGGTCCAAGACACACCCATTGGCACTAGATGTGCACCCATCAGGGTGGGTGCATGTTTCACTAATGGGTGTGAGCTCTTAATCATTTCTCAAGCTGAAGCCACCTACATGAGCCTGGGTGTGTCAGAGAAGGCTTAAAAACTGCGTCATTTAACTGAAACAGTCTGGATCATTCCTTGAGTCAGAGGAAGATTTTATGTCAGTAAGTAGAGGATGTCAATCATTGTTACTGGAGCGTGAGGATAAGAAAGGTAACAGAGAAAGGTAACGGTCAGACTTTACGCAACTAACAGCTCTTCTTTCATACCTTCTGATACAGTTTATCGGGATCAACAGAGATTTAAAGGTAAGTGAAGAGATCATGAGGAAAATAAGTTTTGTCCAAAGTCATTGACAAAAACTTTGGGAATGGTGCAAATTTTGTGTTTCATACATGTTCCCTTTTTATTCAGCTTATTCTCTACATGTTTCTGATGGAGAATCATAAACATTTCATAAGTTTCTTTTATTGGGAAACAAATCAAATGGGACCCTTCTTATCTTCTGAAATTCTTCCTGGCACAAGCGTCTGGGCTATATCCTGACTGATGAGGACCCATCCCTGCCTCATCACTGCACTTTTAAGGATTGATCATAGATTATAGATCAGACTAAGATCTAAAGAGTTTCCTGGATCCAAAATATTAATTTGATTATCTCCAAGCTGCATTGTTATCACTTTGCCTTTTGGCTTCATCACATTGGAAAACACACAGATTGCCACCAAATTGCTCCTGGATTGTTGATTTTTGAGGACATTCCTTAAACAGATCACAATCAGGCAGGATTTTGCCCAGAAGCTAAAATTCAGGATACCAGAAAGAAATGCAGAATTTATAAAGAAGTGTCTGTTCTTTAAATGCTGTGCATACATTTGCTGTAAGTCTTTGAACTTTATTAAAAGCTTGATTGTTTCTTACTATATAAAAAATAGTGGCAGAAAAAAGTGGCAACCTGTATCAACACGTTGATATATGACATCAGTTTAATATTTATTTATTTATTTATTTTTAGATACAATGGCATCATCAGTCCCTGTATCCAAAGCTAGCACTGCCTTCTCTCTGGCTATGCTCAAAACGTTGAGTGAGGAGGACAGCACTGGAAACATCTTCTACTCTGGTCTCAGCGTCTCTGCAGCCCTCGCCATGCTGATGCTGGGGGCGAGGGGCAGCACAGCCACACAGATGTCAGAGGTAGAATATGCACATGTTGTGAAATACATACATGTTGTGGCACCCATTGGGATCAGAGCGTCTGCTTTCAAATATTATGGGAAGTGTGTGTGAATCTGTCTCATCAAGATAAAAAGAGGAAGGTGTGGTTTCAGGTGTTCGGGTAACTGAGTGCACAGTACAGTGATGTATGAAGGATTTAAAGGAGAGTAAAAGCAGGTTATTTTGTATTGAAAGGAGATAATAATAGGAGATCACAAATATATTTTAATACATTTTTATAATGGGCATAATGGGAAGGTTTGAGGAGGGTTTCTAGTGGAATTTTTTTTAACCCAGCAGGCAGAGTGGGGTGTGACAGGAGAAAGTGTCTGTGCAGGCATTCATTACTCACTTGGTTTCCCAGTGTCAGCAAAACAGGTAGGGAATGCTTGTGTTGGCTGAGGTTCAGGAAAGGAATAATGAATTCCACTGCACTGTGAAGCATGACATCAAACAGGAGACTTTGAATTTCAGTCAGGACAAGTTCCCGATTAGCTTTAGACAAGAACAAGCCCAGGCAGGCTTTTTTTTTCCCCTGTTAGTGTTTGCGACTTAAACACAAGTTGATATGGACAAAAAAATTGACAAACATAAAATATAATTGTTAACTTCTCAACCAAAGTTGTTAAACTATAATACATTTTCAACCTTTATGTTTTTTACTGTGTAAATGACAAAAATGATCAGCCTTTAC